TTCTAATTTGCTAACCAATGTTCACATGCACGTCGTGCATGCATATCAAGAGTTCTTAATGGATCCTTGGTCAATCTTTGGTAATTAAGAATGTCAGTGTTGAATATATAATACAGACTGATTTATAAGTAGACATGTCAATCAAAGTTTAGTTAATGTTTTATAAGTATTCAATAAAAATGGTAGAAACAGCGTTAAAAAAATTAGGTTTAGTAATACCCGTAAAAGCCGTAACGTTAAACTTTGTCTCATGGTCATAGATATGTCTATCTATTAATGAAGCGAGTTTCCCCATTGTTATATGTTTCAATCAATTTTGTGATGTTTTGCGTTGAACACAATACAAAAAAATAATAATATTTTGTTTTATCACTTGTTGTTTTATAACATTTTGCGTTGTCCTCAACGCAAAAATTAAGTAACGCAAAATGTAACAACCAAAAAGTGCATTATTACATTGCGCGTTAATCCCAACGCAAAATGTAATAATCCAAAATGGTGTTATTCCATTTCGCGTTATTACATTCTGCGTTGATCTCGACGCAAAATGTAATAACGCAAAATATAATAATCCCAGTTTATTACATTTTGCGTTGTTATTACATTTGGCGTTGTAACATCTCTGTTTAGCGTTCACCTCTCCTACTTATTCCCAAACATCACACAAAGCCGAAAAATAAAACACAGATTTTATAGTCATCAATTTAAAGCGACATCATTCAATGGATTAGATTTCATTTTTCTATTTTTCTCATAGAAAGTTATATTCCTTTTGAAAGACCAGGTTAGTAATTGCTTAATACATGTAAAATATGGAGATAACGAATAGAAGTCAACCTCAAAAGTCCACTGGATTATTGCTAAATACTGACAGAAATTAACCACGATTTTATTTAAACACTACACCTACATAAATCGTCCCTTTTGATGTTTTTCTATGGTTCTTTTCTGAGCAATATTTATTTGATCTGTCGCCATTCCTACCAACTATTTCTCACAATTATAGACTGTAAATCGAAATGAGTTCATTTTAAAGCATTACAGCTAGGGGTTTGTTTCTTGCTCAAGAGCTTTCTTGTATCATTCATTCAAATTGCATAGTTTTATATGCACATGTTGGCTGGTACAACCTAGAAGCTCGAGATTTAATAAGACGCAGCTTTTTTTTAACCATTTAACCTAGTTTTAACAATACGATTCCCATTAAATGATTTATATTTGAACGAAGATTATTTACCAGTGTATACTATACATGTAGTACATGTACTACAACCCATATTTTCTGTCGAATCGTGTTTTGTTTAAGTTTAATGTGGACGTATACAGCCCCTACCCATTCCCAAGCACCCTCTTTTCCATTCCATCCCTTTCTCCCCTCTTTTCTCTCCGATTTCTTTCTATTGCTTTTCTATATTTCCCCCTCCCAAGCGCCATCTCCTTCAACACCCCATCCAATCCCGTTCTTTTTCTCAACTTCGCTCTCCATTCCCTCTTTTCCTTTCTCTCATATCCGTCTTACCCTGTCCTCTTCTTTTAATTATCCTACACCCACATTATCTTTTTTTAAAGACCATAATTCCACCCATTGTCATAAATTCTAAGGCCAGATTTTTATGGTTTCCAAAAATACGCCGAAGGACCATCATAGATTGATCCTTTTAAAACAAACCTGTCAATGAGTGTGGTTTGCCTTAACCTTATCGTCTAGTTTCTTTGGTTTTGTTATTTCAGAGTGATGGAATGCAGATTTCCATTACGTTAATAGCCCAAAATCGTGGATAAGAGGAGGTTTTCTGTTTCTTCTTATATATTTCCACTGTTTGTTTAAAAATTTATGAAGGTAGTTTAAAAGAGTCAAAAAACTTTGACTTAGAATTCACTTATCTTGCATGCACCGACTTAACTTTTATGTGACCTTGTGGCAATAAAGTTAAACTTAGTAATTCATTGCATCTTATTCTATTAAAAGCCAGCATCAAATAATAAACACGTTCCGAACGGAAATTTGAGCAAACTGAACCGTTACACTTATTTTATTTATTGTCAGAAAGTCAGGTTAATTAAATATCCTAATCACCCAAACTGACTACATGTATTTTGTAAATTCATTTGTCATTTATACAAAATTGTTCGTTTATAGGAGTATGGGTTTCAGCATCAATTTATTGCCCTAGAATGCTGATATGTACTTCTCCCGGGTCGAAATGGGGGGTTGGGGGTTGGGGGGGGGGGGGGTTTCAGCACTTTATTCAGGTAAAAGTGTCATATACTGTATTCATAAGATGCAAGTTTAATAGAAATGGATTATTTTAATCATCAAATGTCTTAATTGTCAGACTAATGCAGGACATTGTCTCCATCAAAGTCCGTTTATTTTTCGTCTTTACAAATTAAAGAAAGAAAATCATTTGCTACACAAAAGATTTATCGAAACATTCTTTTACCCATTAGTTATATGCAGCTGATGTAATTTGATAACGATATTTAGTCCAGCCAAACGAGATGATAAAACCATCTACTTCTATCAGCAATTATAGCCCAAAGTATAATGAACAATTGCAAAAATTATTTTGAGATAAATTTATCATTCCAACCATTTAAAATGTAATAAATCATTGATATCTCCATTTGACATGGTTGGGACGAAGTTTAATCAATATGCAGAGTGTCTTTTCTGCATTTAATTTAATAGGAGTTTTATCGTAGTTTCATTTAAGTGTCGTACTAATGGGTTTGAAATGAAAATTAGATGGAATTTTTTTATGTATAGCAAGATTATAACTCGACACCTTTTCGACTTTATACACAAAAATGTAAAAGAGAACCTATATTACCCTAAACTCCTTTCTCTAAATTAAGATAATCTCCGTAATTGTTTCCATGAAATAGGTTACAAGGCATTACCAAAGTTTTCGTATGATATTGAATTGAAAAAGTTATTCTGATCTTCCGATCACATCAAGGGCTTTTCCCCCGGCCCAAAGGACTGTTACAGTCTATGGCCAACTAAATCACACCGAAGCGTACATGTAACTTTAACTTGGTATGAAATTCAAAGAGATTTTTTAAACAATTTCATTGATAGCGATTGATTGATTGATTGATTGTATGTTGTTTTACGTCCTGTTCGAGAATAATTTGTCAATATTAGCAGTATCTCTTCCAACAGAGCTTTCATCTTATCATTAATTTACAAAGTACCTCTGTAGATAGTTGTGCAAGAACGAATTTCTTTTACTTTAATAATCTTTTAATATAAGGTTTGAAACGGCAGATATCGCTGATAATTTGGGTTGCTCCTTTTGCTTGTTCACAGGCCCGTAGGAAGCAATTTCAGTTTGGGGGGGGGGGGGGCGCACAGCTATACATTTTCAGTTGAGGGGGCACTATCAACTACCAAAAAAATTTCTTGACGAACAAAAAAAAAAAAAAAGGTCATCAGACGTTTTTATTGAGGGGGCACAACATATAGTATCTATATTTTCTATAGTAATCTATATATCGGCAAAATTATTGGGGGGCACGCCCCCCCCGTGCCCCCCCCCCCGGTTCCTACGGCCATGGTTCAAACACCCAATGATTTATCGTGCTGTGATTGGACGATGAGTACATTTAATAATCCACCTATTAATTCGATGACACAAGTGACCAAGATTTTTTATCTTTCTTAAAAAATTGGCATTTGTTCATAGTTTTCAACATCAATCACATTTTGCACCAAGACTATCTTGAGTTTTATTTTTCATATGTGTGTAAAAAAAAAATTCCGTTTTCATATAATATTTAAATACAAACACATGGTGAAAAAGTTGTTTGATTATCAAAATTATTTCAGAATTTATTTTCATTTGAATTTTGACTTGAGTCTTTTCTCAGTTTATGGTCTTGAGGCCCAGTCTTTGGACTTTACAGAAAATCGATGACCCCACAAAGAGGTTTAATAAATCAACGTGTTAAGACCTTTTGCATCTTTTTGTACTTGATTTAACAAAAGATATCTAAAAACCCATTCTTCGTGATACGAAAACAAAGACTTTTATGTCAAAAGGTTCCTAAAAACAAAAGTCCAGTAGCATGTCTTCAATGACGTCACAAGAATAAAAACACTGTTCGTTTAATGTTCGTGCTATATAAATACTTATCGATATATTGATACTTATGGTTGGGTTGACATGTAAAAGAATATGTGATGAAGAATCAAGACATATTTATATCAAACAATTCGAAAGGCGGTGCCCTTGCTAATCGACTCATTATGAACTGAGAATAGTATCGAATCATATGAATGTTGTTTTAAGCAATTGGCGATTGACGTCAATCGAGAAATACCACTTGAAATTTAAATCAATTTCGGAATCAAAATGTGGGTATCTTAGCGGAAATATCAAAGACTTGGAACTTGACCTTGTATTTAAATCATTTTAAGGACCGTCCCGTAGCCGTGAAACGTATCAACAATGCAAAACACTTCCGATTCCTATTTTAAAACAGCAGGCTATATTTAAATGAATGATATTAGTTCAAAATCAGTTCGTCTGAGAATTTTGAGGCAAACATTTCGTTGGCGTTTAATTTTTCAAAGAATTTATTTCTCGATCTGCGAATTGCTATATTTTGTAATTTTGTCGAACTTTAAAAAAAAGGTATGCTTTGAATTTTTTATCTGACACATATATTAAGTTTTAAAACTAGAGATTTCTTTGAAATGTCATGAAATCAACCGAGTCGAACTTAAATCCCTTGATTTTAATTTGGAATGTTTAACAGTAAAGTACTTTTAATTTTGCAAAAGTTTTATTAACATTCATCCTTGAAATAGAAATGTTCTCTTAAAGTACGATCATTGTGAAACTAAACGATTTTTTTCCAAATGTCCCCAGTAGTTTTTATATTTATTGCCTTATAAAGTGGAAACTGTTGTCAGTAATTTCCAATCTCGAGTTAATTTACACATTTATGAGGATGTAGCAACTAAATGGGTTTTTATCTTTTTTTTTCAGAAAGATAAAATTCAACGCAGCTAGAGATTTTGGTGAGTACTTTCTCTGTATTTCTTCAAATTGTAATTATCTAAAAGTGATATTCCAGTCATAAGAAAATTTTAAAAAGTCAAAACGGTGAAAAACTGTGACACATTTAAATCACGTTTGATGTCACAAGAGACATTGTTTGCACGAGGAGTTCGAAAGATCAGCGGTAACAAACGACAATCTCTTCACTGTTTGGAAAACCTGACAGAATTTTGTCTAAGTTAAATCCATTTTCTGTTTTCCGTTCAATATATTGGATTCTTACTGCGATATACCCTTCATTTATCTTCCTTACAATGCTTAACGTATTAACACAGATCCGTCTCTTCTTAGACGACTTTTTGCGACTATCATTGTTTACGGTGTTATCAGAATTATTAAGCCTTTAATTTTCAACTGTTCATCCTTTTTTATCAACAGTGACAACGTCAACACAAGACCAGAACACAACAAGCAGTCAAAGCAAACAGACAACGACACAAAGCAATGGCTCTCAATGTTCACCGTAACACTTTGTGGACACATAATACAAACAATATTGGACATTTAGGACTTCACAGTGAAACCAGAAATTTGACTAGTACCAGAAATACTTGTGCCAAGAAACATTTTGGTGTTCTGATAACTGCTTTGAATAATAGTGAAAAACAGAATTTCAGAATCATGAGTGGACACAGGCGTGAACTAGAACAATCATTGCTGGCTCTTTCTCAGAGAATGCGAGAAATCAACGAAAGCAGATTTTCACCACCTGCTTCTCGGAAGACTTCTTTCCCACAAAAAGACTCTAGGTCTGTGTCGGATGCAAGCACATTTTCATTTGGATCATCAAGATCCAGTGTTTCGTCGTATAATTCTTTTTCGAAATATATTGGTCGGAGACTTTCACCGGTAAAGGGGAAGAGGAAATCGCGGAATTCTATTGATACAGAGAATAACAAACCAGAAAATGGAGAGAAAAGGGAGCGGCGCTTTGCGACTATTTCTCCGCCAGACATCGGGGAACTTCAGAAAATGTCTGAAAACTCATCAGAACTTGCTGAAAAATCTAATTTCTCTTTAACAGACTTGCAAGAGAGAGTCACTTTACGCAAAAGTTGCGTTCGCATCACTCCATTTCCAGATCTTCCACCTGATATTGAAAACACAGACAAGGAGGAAACATCTTCAATTTCATTTGACGAAACTGGCAGTACCACTACCCCAAGACGCTCTACTCGAAAAAGGTCTAAAGCCAGAAAAAAGTCCAGCAAAGGGAGCATTGAGGAAGCCCCAATTCACGAGCAAGAAACAACCCGCAATAACCCACATGCAAGAATGATTGCTCTGCAAAAACTTCAGATGGAAACGCAGAAGAGAGCTGCACTTGCTGAAAAACAAAGACAGGAATTGATCAAGAAAAACCGCAAAGAGGTGACCGAGAGTTTTCGTTATTCCCACGCCATAGAACAATTCATAAAATCAAGACGACAAAATTCTAAAATCACCATGTCTGAGGTCCCGGATGAAGTTGAGTATGATGCTGAGGGACGGGAGATTCGCCGGCTCGGGCCCTCTGTTTTGTCGGTCATAAATTTTGACGACATATATAGAATGACAGTTCGACGCAGACGTCACACAACAACAGGTCTTGGGGAGAAACGACCCAGTTTTTACAGAATGAAATCAAGAAAATCGATTGCTTCCGTTTATCACCCTTTGCCGGACATAAACAAGGAATCCAAAACAAACTCAGTTGAAAACCCCTTGTCCACAAAAAAATTTCATCCAAAAGACAATCTTCCACCACTTGCAGAGAATCAAGTTGTGGTGACGTAAATCTTATAAAGTGTAGGGAAACAAATTGTCAGTATGATATTGCATATCTTGTTTATATTTTTTCATATAGTTGTTGTTACATTCTTGAAAGCTTCTTCTTGCCGAGATAAACTAAAGATGAAATGCATGTACATACATGTATATTTCGCTTATGTACTTGCCATTTACATCACTGTATAAGTACATGTAATTAATATCGTTGAAATGAAATTTCATAAGCATTTAGGGTATACTTGCCAAGGCTATCAAAAATTAAACTTATTTAGCCCAAAAAGTGTTCATTTATTTTATTGCTAAAATTTCATCGAGTTATATCTGTTCACACCGAAGCCGAATGTGCGCTATGTATTGTAGTTATTACCACTTTTCCTTTTGCAATACTACATATGGTTCGGAAGTTAACAACAGCGCTGCAGTTTGTTCCCCAAATTGCATGATTGCCAAATTGGCAGTGACATAGCTATAAGACAAGGCCATATTTGTAGACTATAAAGCTAAGATTAAAAATATGAATTGAAATTGGAATTTTAACAGCATTGATTAAATCAATCATTAGCTTAGTAAAAAAATGCACTAAAAAGACACCATGAACAGTTGACAATGTGTGTGGCAAGTTTATAAAGTATTTATATTATTAAAAGATCGAATGTACATGTATATTTAATTTTTTTCCAATTCATTTTTTTTTCTTCAGATGCATGTCTCAAAAAAGTGTTTATTGTTTTGTTGCTTAGTTGATATCTTCAGGAATCATAAATTTTACAGCAGCCGTTTTGTTGCTTTGAGAAGCATAAAGGTTTTGAAGAAGAGGAAAACCAGATGAATTGGGAAAATGGAAAAAGAAATCGATGTAGACACGAAACCAAAGTTATTTCGATTTTAATATAAACTGGAATCTTTGTCACTTGAAAAACGTACTTATTTGCCATGCGTTCCTATTTTACCGTATGCGCGTTATAGCTGCAGATCTTTCCTTGCTGGTCTGTATAGACTTATCCTGTAGTATAGTTTTTCCTCTAGATTTTATATGTAATTTTTTACTTAGATGCTGCCCCCATCTTACTTTCTGCTGCTGTAAGGTCGAGCACTGGCGAATTCCAGCACTTGAAAAATTCTACAGACAGAGAAAGTCCACCCCTCCCCACACACGAACACACAAAAATAGAATTTTCTAGTTTTTTTTTATTATTATTATTTTAATTTTGCTTGTCAGATTTCTTTGGGAGGTTGTCCCTTCCCCCACTGTTTAAACCAATAATAGCTATCTCTTTGTTTGGCAGCAATATCTACATGTATATGTTAGCACAGATTTATTCACATCAAAGTTCAGACAGTAGCATCGTTTTTGTAAGAGAAGGGGGGGGGGGAGTTTTGACAACTTACCTTTAAAAATATTGTGCAAAACCGAATTTCATTGGGGGGGGGGGGGGTTGGTTAAATTTAAAATAAAGATTTTTTTTTAATAATTGTGTCTTATGCGTTAAACTTTTACCAAAATGAATTACATGTATATCATTGAGATTTGAGTTTTACCAGCAAACTAACAACGTTTTTTGAAATTATTTATTGTTATAATATTTAGAATTAATGCTTTGAAACTTTGATTAAAATTAAATTAAATTAAAAAATATCTAAAACAAATTTTATTTAACACTTATTAAGATATATTGAAAAGAAAAATGCCATATGATCGATAGATTTTTTCCTGTTTTAGACAGAATTCTACTTACATGTTTACCGAAATTTTATTTAACCGATCTTTAAGACATCTCTTCTGAAATATGGCTTAAGTATGGAAAGATTGATATTAACTTAAATTATTTTTTGTGAATTTTGGGGGCTTTTTAAGGAGAAAATGAAAAGTTTGTTTTAATTGCAAACTAGTATTAATTGTAACGGGGACCGTTACAGATGTTCCCCAAACGCTCCCCAACTCCCTTTTGGTGTCTTATTTCCTGTAAGCTTCATTAAATAAGGCAATTAAATATATTGGTCATTTAACGCATTTCACGCGCGCGCACGTGCATGCATGTGCAGGTTGACAACATCATTCCGTCTGTACTATAAATGCATCTTTATATTCTCAGTATCAAAACATTTCATCAAAAAATATATAAGTTCCGGCTATATCAAGTATATTGGTCATCTTAGCATTGCGCGCACGCGCACCTGTATGCATGTTCATAATGACCATGCCATTTTGTCTACACTTATGATATGTCTGTTTATTCTTAGTATCAAAGCTTTTCATAAAAAAATATAAAAGTTACGGCTACATTAAGTATATTGGTCATTAAACACATTGCACGCGCGCGCATGTGCATGCATGTGCATGATGGCCACATCATCTTGTCTACACTTTTAATATATCTGTATATTTTTAATATCAAAGCTTTTCATCAAAAAATATAAAAAGTACGGCTATATTAAGTAAATTGGTCATTTAACACATTGCACGCGCGCGCACGTGCATGCATATGCATGCATGTGCATGATGATCATGTCGCCTTGTCTACACTTTAAATACATACAAATATTTTGAGTATCAAAGCATTTCATCAAGTTTCAAAGTTACAACTATATCAAGTAAATTGGTCATTTTACGCTTTGCGCGTGCGCGCACGTGCATGCATGTGCATGTTGACCATGTCATCTTGTTCATACTTTTAATATATCCTTATATTCTGAGTATCAAAGCATTTCATCAAAAAATATAAAAGTTACAGCTATTTCAAGTATATTGGTCATTTTACGCATTGCACGCGCACGCACGTGCATGCGCGTGCGCGCAAAATGACCTTCGTTCCGCAAATCTACATAACATGCCTAGTAACCCTAAAAAGGTTTCACCTCAATGGGATGTGTAGTTTCGGAGATCACTCACGGACAAAAAAGTACCCAGGAAGAAAAATAATAATAACTAGTTCTAATTGTAACGGGGACCGTTACAGATGTTCCCCAAACGCTCCCCAACACCCTTTTGGTGTCTTATTTCCTGTAAGCTTCATTAAATAAGACAATGAAGTATATTGGTCGTTTTTTGCATTTCACGCCAGGCACGTACATGCATGTGCAGGATGACCATGTCATCTCATCTATACTATTAATGCATCTTTATATTCTGAGTATCAAAACATTTCATCAAAAAATAAATAAGTTCCGGCTATATCAAGTATATTGGTCATCTTAGCATTGCACGCATGCGCACCTGCATGCATGTTCATAATGACCATGCCATTTTGTCTACACTTATAATATCTCTGTTTATTCTTAGTATGAAAGCTTTTCATAAAAAATGTATAAAAGTTATGGCTATGTTAAGTATATTGGTCATTTAACACATTGCACGCGCGCGCATGTGCATTCATGAGCATGATGTCCAAATCATCTTGTCTACACTTTTAATATATCTGTATATTTTTAATAAAAGAAATATAAAAATTACGGCTATATTAAGTATATTGGTCAATTAACACATTGCGCGCGCGCGCACGTGCATGCGTGCATGCATGTGCATGATGACCATGTCATCTTGTCTACACTTTTAATATATATAAATATTTTGAGTATCAAAGCATTTCATCAAAAAGTATAAAAGTTACGAGTATTTCAAGTATATTTGTCATTTTACGCTTTGCGCGTGCGCACACGTGCATGCATATGCATGTTGACCATGTCATCTTGTTTACACTTTTAATATATCCTTATATTCTGAGTATCAAAGTATTTCATCAAAAAATATAAAAGTCACAGCTATATCAAGTATATTGGTCATTTTACGCATTGCACGCGCACGCACGTGCATGCACGTGCGCGCAAAATGACCTTGATTCCGCAAATCTACATAACATGCCTATTAACCCTAGAAAGGTTTCACCTCAATCGGATGAGTAGTTGACGAGATCACTCGCGGACAAAAAAGTACCCAGGAAGAAGAAGAAGAAGAAAAATAATAATAATAATAAGAAACAGAGTAAAAACAATATGTTCCCCAACTTCGTTTGGGGAACATAATAATAATAACTAGTTATAATTGTAACGGGGACCGTTACAGATGTTCCCCAAACGCTCCCCAACTCCCTTTTGGTGTCTTATTTCCTGTAAGCTTCATTAAATAAGGCAATAAAGTATATTGGTAGGTTTTTGCATTTTACGCGCGCACACGTGCATGCATGTGCAGGATGGCCATGTAACCCGTCTATACTATTAATGCATCTTTATATTCTCAGTATCAAAACATTTCATCAAAAAATATATAGGTTCCGGCTATATCAAGTATACTGGTCATCTGAGCATTGCGCGCACGCGCACCTGCATGCATGTTTATAATGACCATGCCATCTTGTCTACACTGATAATATGTCTGTTTATTCTTAGTATCAAAGCTTTTCATAAAAAAAAATAAAAGTTTTGGCTATATTAAGTATACTGGTCATTTAACACATTACACGCGCGAGCATGTGCATGATGGCCACATCATCTTGTCTACACTTTTAATATATCTGTATATTCTTAATATAAAAGCTTTTCATAAAAAAATATAAAAATTACGGCTATATTAAGTATATTGGTCATTTAACACATTGCACGCGCGCGCACGCGCATGCATATGCATGCATGCATGCATGTGCATGATGACCATGTCATCTTGTCTACACTTTTAATATATATAAATATTTTGAGTATTAAAGCATCTCATCAAAAAGAATAAAAGTTACGAGTATATCAAGTATATTTGTCATTTTACACTTTGCGCGTGCGCACACGTGCATGCATGTGCATGTTGACCATGTCATCTTGTTTACACTTTTAATATATCCGTATATTCTGAGTATCAAAGCATTTCATCAAAAAATATAAAAGTTACAGCTATATCAAGTATATTGGTCATTTTACGCATTGCACACGCACGCACGTGCATGCACGTGCGCGCAAAATGTCCTTGATTCCGCAAATCTACATAACATGCCTATTAACCCTAAAAAGGTTTCACCTCAATCGGATGAGTAGTTGACGAGATCACTCGCGGACAAAAAAGTACCCAGGAAGAAGAAGAAGAAGAAAAATAATAATAACTAGAAACCTTGTTGCCATGGCAACAAGAAGGTCTTCCGTCCCTTCTCTGTCTTCATAGAAGTTGATTCCTCTTTAAACAACATGTTATGTTGTGCATTCCCTGTCACACCTTCATACAAAATTCCTTCGCCATGCGCTCGGCACTTTGAAGTGAAAGTTGCGGATATTTTGGATGAGACCTTAAAAACCGAGGCCACGTGTCAAGGCAGGTGTTGGCACGGATAAAGATCCCTCATTGCTCAATGGCCCTGAGTGCCGAGTAAAAGTTTAAATTTGAAGCCCTTCACCGCGGTGGTCACGTCTCTATATGAGTGAAAAATTCTCGAATGGGACTTAAAACAACATACAATCAATCAATCAATCATACATAAAATATAATTAAACGTTTATATTTTGAAAATATTGCAAATCTGGAACGAAAAAAA